GGTCTGGGCCTGAGACTTTTCAGCAAACTGCACCCCCTGCAGATCTGTATTCCTGACCAGTCCACTGAGTGGTTCTCCATTGATTGGGGGGCAGATCAGCTGTGCATTTTGTGCCCCAATGTTCCTCCAATGGGCCCGTCTCCCCCACCTCCACACTCCAAACACTTCCCATGGGATTGGCCTCTGAGTGGCTCTTTTTTCCAGTTGTTTTGGCTCCTCACTTCTACATGGGTCCACAGGAACCCTGTTAGTGGTCTTGCTGGCCTGGGGCCCAAGGCCCTCTTCTCCCCTGCCACCTCTAAGCAACTTCATAAGAAGAGTACAGCTGTGGCTTTTGCCAGCTCTTGCTCCATGTGCTCACCAGCTCCAGCCTTGACGTGGCTGGGGCTTGAAATGGTGGGAGCAATCCTGTCTTTCTCTCATCATGGCTTCTCCCACCTTCATGCACTCCATAGGTCTCTCTTCCTCTTCCCCTGAGCTCTAGTAGCCCCAGCTTGGTTGTTGTTGCTTTTTGATAGTTGTAAATCGGTTGATGTGGGAGAGAGAATGATGCTGGGGACCTTCTATTCTGCCATCTTGACCAGAAGCCCTCATTCACTCTCCTTTTAAAGCCACTTCCATTATTCCAAGAATGGATCAATCCATTCATGAAGGCACAGTCCTCACAATCTAATCACCCTTTCAAGGCCCCACCTTTCAATTACCATCATAGGATTTCCCACCCTCTTAACAGTCACAGTGGGGATCAAGCTTCTAATACATAAAACTAGAGGGACACAATTCAATCCAAAGGGTGAAGGTGAGAGTTGGGGAGGGCCTTCTGACCGAGATGATGTCCAGGTGAATCTTGGAGAATCAATATGATCTAGCCAGGCACAGAGCTGGGGAAGGAGGCATGAAACTTTGTAACATGGGAGAAGCACCAAGAAATTCGGTAGTATTACAATGCAAAAGACCATGTGGGAGAGGTAAGAGATGAGGCTGGAGGTGCAGGTAGGGTCTGGGTCATGTTTTCCAGGAAGCCTCTGGGACAAGCTGAGACGTTTGGGCTTTATTTTATAGGTAACAGAGAGCCATAATGATTTTAAGCATGATTGGATTTATAATTTAGATGGTCCCCTCTGTCTAGAGCGTGGAAAGTGAATTTGATGAGTGGCGTGCAGGGCGGGAGATGAAAAGAATGGTCGAGATTTCATTCCACTACTTCAGAGAAATCATTACAGAGCTGATGAGGAAGCTGAGAGATGTTTAGGAAATGTTTTTAGAAGCACTGGACTGGATAATTGACTGGATTGGGGTGGGTGGATAGCAATGAGAGATGTCTGGGTTGATTTCTATTTCTTGATTCAGTAACCGGAGAGACCATGGTGGTACTAACAGAGGTATGGAATCCTGGAAGAGGAGCAGTTCTGAGAAATAAATTTGCCCAGCAGCAGATGAGAACAACGAATATGAAAGTCTGAGATGCAGTCAGGGCTAGAGATATTTAACTGATTTATTAAACTACTGTATATTGATATTAGGCTAGATACTAGACTTGGAAGTCAGGATAAGACAGGCTATATTGCAGTAACCTAAATCGCAGAGGCTTAAGTCAAAAAAATAAAAAAATTTTTTAAAAAGAGTCTATTTTTTACTCATACTACATGTCAAATATGTGTTGTTAAGGGGCTCGGTCCCACATCATCACTTAGGGACCAAGATGACTAGGTTGCATCATCTTTTAACTTCAGCATTCACACAAATCCTCCTCAGTCACCTGGGCAAGAGAAGAGAGAGACTAAATAATCACACATGGGCCATTTACTCCCTCAGCCTGGAAGTGACACGCATCATGTCTGCTCATATTTCACTGGCAGAATTGGTTTTATGGCCCCACCTAACTACAGGGGGTGGGAAATGTGGAGGCACAAATGTTACTTGTGCTGAGCATTACTGTCTCCGCTGCATGTCATCAGTGCAGGGGAGGTGACTAAATGCAGTAGAGAAAGAATGGGATCAATCACAGTAGAGCCCATGGAGTGAAAAGAGAGCAGTCAAGGATAAAACCCAGTGAAACACCTTCTGTAAGTAAAAGGTGCATGGGGAGAGGAGCCCAAGGATGAGGCTGAGAAATGAAAGAGATAAGAACCAGGAGACAATAGCGGCCCTCAAGCCAAGGAAGTAGATAAGTCTGTAAGGAGGTACAGAGTGGCCAGTGCAGCCTAAAGGGGCAGCAGGAAAAAGACTGACGTCTCTATTGCATTGGGCAATCAAGAGGGGTCTGGGGAACATTTTAATAGATGTGTTTCCTTGGAGTGAATATTTAACCAGATTTTTGTTTAAGAAGAAATGGTGACACTTTAGAGCTGTATAGAAAGGGCTGTGTTCCCGAGGCCACAGCCCTAGAAGTATTTTAGAAGTCATGGTGGCAATTCGGCTAGGCAGTCCATTTTGTCCCACAATATTATTAAAAATTCTTAGTAAATTTTCAGTTAGTGATTAGCTAATTGGGTGAGATAAGACCTTTAAAAGTACAGAGCACCATAATTGAAATGGACCTTAAGTTGTGTAAACTGTGAAACAAAAAGAGATGTTTACCTATTGTTGGTTAATACTCACGAAGAGTGGCAATGTCAGCTTGGGAAGTTTATCCAAAGTGCAGTCATTACTAACTAATAATATCCCTTGGATTGAATTGGGAACTCACATTTGTGGTTTCTTCATCCAGAAGAAGAGGGTGTCATTATTTCCTTTCTGTGGTTTTGGTTGAGAAAACTGACCTAAGGAGAAAAATGACTAGATGATGAGATTTTGACCATACAGATGTTGAACACTTCTGGGGAAGAGGAACATGGAAGAGACATTTGTTGAGTGCCAATTCCATGCCAGGCAATTCCCATACATAATTTTACTTCATCTTCACAACCACCCACTGAAAGAGATCTCTTTTATCCTCATTTTATAGATGTTGCAAAATTGAATAGAAGGTCCAGGTTTACAAACTGCAGGGCTCCATCCCATTTGCTATCAGATAAGTAGCCTCCGAACATGGGCCCCTGTTTCTGCTTCTGCCGGGATGGCTGTGAATCTCCGCATCTCCCATCAGTCCAAAGCTGTGAGCACGCAGATGAAAGCCTTCAAGGATCTGAAACTACGGCACTACCTTCAGAGGAGCTGACTCTCAGCTTTCAGCCACATGCACGAAAGGGGCTGTTTCCATCTGTTGACCTGTCAGGCTGCCTCTCTCTCAGGCTTCTTTCCTCCCTCCTTGGAGTTTCTTCAATAAAACATTTCACTCCCTTGAAAAGCATCTCCCCTGAGTGGCATGGGGAGGGCCCAATGTGGTTCTGTTTAGCTCCCTGGGGATGAGGAGGCATCCTCCCTTCACATAACTTTCCCAGCAAGTGGTATCTCTGTTTCCTTTCCCAGAAAGTCTATGAAAAAATAAATTCTGGTTATTCTCCCAACTCATGAGTTTCATTCCCCACAGTTTCTGCTTGGGGCCAGCTTCCCCATTCCACTGCCTTGACCCTTAGTCTCTTAGAAGACTGATGGTGGAGACTGAGTGGGAGCCACCTGATAGCAATGAGCTGGAACCTCACCTTTTAGTAGCTCTGCTTCCGGGAAGAGAGAGGCTCTGGTCTTTCTTTCCAGTGGGCTTCTCCTCCACAAGACTACTGGGAGAAGCAGAACCAACTCTGCCAAGGCCTTCTGGAGTAAATGGACACATTTGGCAAGCACACTTATGAGGAAGGACAGATCTGACTTTTCAAATCGTACAGAGAGTTTATCTTCTAGCCAGGCTCCCCTTCCATCATCTTCTCATCTCCCTCCAGTGCCCGAGGCTAGGCTTTCTACCTGTACATAGGTTGCTCTCCCAAGCCTCCTGCTAAAGAACTGACTACAATCATCTGCAAGGCTTGAGAAAACACACATTGCTGGGCCCCACCCCAGGGCTTATGATTGGCATTTCACTGAGAATTTGCATTTCACAGCACTACCATTGGTTTGCAACTCTAGACGCAAATTTGAATCACTGTTTTAAAAAATATAGTGTGTGCACCCCAGACCAATTAGCACACTAGTAGTTTTTAAAAACACCTCCAGGGCCGGCCC